GTGTCCGTTTAATACAGGTCAAGTGACAGGTTGGAAACAATAGAAATGACCATTTCAGGTACTTTTAGGTGTCCTCGTCCGCTTAATAGAGGTTTCATTTCAAGTAAATAAGGGAAATAATTTTGGGGACTTCGGCCACTGTCTGCTTAATAGAGGGTGTCCGCTTAATACAGGTTTCACTGTATAAGTCCCTCAAACTGGTAACGCAAAAAACCATCCGTTAAATCGCCCCTCCAAATATAAGCCCCCTGGGGGCTTGTACTTGGAAAATTGCCCTCAAATACAAAGTAAAACAAAGCAAAAACGGTAAATTTACCTCCAACTATAAGAGGGTGTCATTGGGGTTAGTAGATTAGTAGTTAACTGATATTTGGCCTAAAAAACAGTAGTTAACGGATAATTGGACAAATTAGTAGTTAACTGAGAAATGAAAAGTTAACAGTTAAGTGAGATTCTATTAATTATACTAAATACGATCGTTAATGTTAATGAAAGCAACAACGTTTTGCAAACAGAAATGCTATTTTCTGACTTTTTTCTGTCCTGCTGATGACCTGGTGACTAGTCCTGGTGACACGTTAACTGATATTAGTAGATGCAAAAAGGCACCGGGGTGGTACCCGGCAAACGGAAAGTGTCAGTCATAGAGCTGGTTGTCGGACAACTCAACGAATAATTCGTCTTCTAATATTAAGAAGATTCCTGTGTTCGCAAAAGGAAAGACAGTACTGTTTTGACGGACCTAAAAGATCGTCAAGTTAAACATTGCTAACCAAAGAAAAAAACTGTGACTCTTAGCCGGCATTGGATCTGGATGGCCAAAAAGAAGTTCTGATGGCTCAAAGAAATCAGCATCCTTTTTGAAGTACATGGAATTTGTACTTATACGAGAAACCATGTTTGTAAAGGTTACATTTAGGGACGCGAAAGTGGATGTCGACAAAGTCTGTATCGAGGCGCAAAAAACTTTTGACAACACGGGTGGAAAACCTTGACGCGATTTCTCACTTCAAAACAAAACATTTAGCGCTTTGAACTAGTCCCAAGACTTTGAAAACACAGCGAAAGAATCGCTTAAAAGAACTAGGAATTCGAAGTGGGTAACACTCACAAAAAGTCGAATTGTCCTGTGTCAAATGCTTTCATACTTCTGTCAGCAGTCTCAACTGTCTCTCCCACCGGTGTAAACAGTGACAAGAGACGAAGGGGGACTGGATAGAGAACTTTTGACCTGTTTGAAAACGAACTATAAGAAGCGAATCAACTCAAAATAAAATGGGATCCTTACCACCAGCGTCACGGGACTATGCCATACTATTTGCTATCTTTTTAAAAAGCTAAAACTTTTCTTTTGCATCAATTGAATTCCAAAAATATTGGTCCAGTTTTGTTATTTAAGACGACGTTTTGGCACTGATATTGTTTCCCGTCGTCTGTCTGTTGCAATGGATTGCAAGGATTGAAAATGGATTGAAACTTAGGCAACAACAGGATACAGGACACATACAGCAACCAGTGAAGTGCGAGACTGATTCAGATAATGAACTGAAGGTGACAAAGAAGGTGACTTTGAAGAAGTTTGTAGCAGGAAATGCATGACCGAGTCGGGAAGATCGGTACGAGATCATGACTGGCTCGTCTGGATGTACGTTGATGGTTATACGACTTAATCTAATTTGTACCTACAGCAAAAGTCGGTTAATAGGAGTCTTAATAGCTATCACTTACCGATTTTTACTACTTCGGTAAGATCATTATGTTCTTTTAATTTCTATATTTTCAGTTACTTATAAAATAATGTTACTAGTGGCCGAGTTTATGTGAATTCACATAAGTTTAAACTTTTTAGTAGGGCCTACCCCAAAATTGATTGACGTGCTGAAGTAAAGAAAATACGGGTTATGACAGAATAATATTCGCTGTAGGAAAGTGAAAGTTGATAGGTAACATAAATTAGTCGTGAACAGAGAATAGGCCAAAAAAAATTGTATTTAACTGATTTTTGGCCGAAAAATTGGTAGTTAACTTAGAACTGGGTACCCCCATTAGCACCCGCCTATAAGGCTAGCCCAGTCGATTTTGAAACTCAAATTTCATTCCGTAGATAAGACCCTCCGAATATAAGCCCCTCAAAAAGGGTCTTTGAAAAATATAGGCCCCGAGGCTTATTCTCTGAATTTTACGGTAGCTGGTGATTAGCTGATCTGTTGACTCGAGTCGGAGAGGGAGTGGCCACATCACCCATGTAGATCTTATAAAACATGCTGGCTTGAAGGAGAAGTCTACGATCTTTTGGTGAGTCCCATCCCAGGCATTCCAGCATCGGAGAAACATGGCTAAAACTCGAGTACTCATTAAGAACAAATCGGGCTGACAAATCATGATGACAAAAATCCAATGATTCTGGCACTTTTTCTGCGCTGACCAAAGTTCCAACGTTTAATCGTCGACCTTTTTCGAAGTGCATGCTTACATGTGGAATGTATGACGACAAAAATCAAAACCACTCGCAAAAATAACCTTTCAGTGATCTTCAGTTCCCTCCTCTTGTCCCATCGCTTCATACGGCTCAGTCTGGTAAAAATGTCCATAAAGCCTTGGTTAACTGCACACCGAACGAAAACAATTTTTTTGAACAAAAACATGTCTGACTGAGGGTCTCCTTTACCCCTTTGAAGTTACGTAAAAATATAGACACTTTTCACGCTTCACGAATAATTCCTAAAATTTCTCTACGATCATGTAAAAACTGAGTAATTCTCTTTTCCCGGAAAGAAATGAGGGAGTATAACTCTCATTGTACGTGCCTAAGATTTTTACCATTGTCCGAGCCAGTCTGAGTACTAGTTTCTGGGCAGGTGCTTTATGTACGAGAACATTAATCCAAAACGCTGTTTGGAAAAAAACGGTCACAATCACTTGATCTTTTGTGTTGCTCAACGTAACTGCGCGGAAACCTTATTAACAACGGTAAGAAAGGCTTTTTAGTGCATGTTGTATACATATTAGAAGAATAACTTAAAGACAGGATTGATCGACACAGCAGAAAAGACGAGATTTTAGCCCACATAAATCACAGCTTCTCTGGCGGGTGATTTGTGCTGCTTTATAATTCAGATAACTGCCTGTTGGCTATTCGCACGAGACCCGTACACCGACTTGTGTTTGCTTTTCACACCGCATTCTGACTATATTGATTAGGGTTAAGCGCTGAAAATAGTAACAGATTTAATAGAGTTAAAAACTGACCATACTGATTAGCTAGGGTTTAATAAGCACTCACTCGAAACGGTCAGCTTCTTAGATTAGGTTAGAGTTGTTGCTATATTGAAATCAGTGTTGAATAATAAAACTGAGCCATTGTTTTTAGCAATCAGTGGATGTGAAAAATTTTAGAGCTTTTGAAAAAAAATGGTAAATGACGCATGACTTAATTGTTCTCTCCAAGTGGACTGTATGTATTACAGCAGGTGGTAAATGCAACCAGGCGCACTGTTGTATAATTTTTGTGTCAGCTTAGAAATGACGATGGATAGATAGTTTTAATAAACGCTGTGGCTATATGGCCGGTAACTGGTCAAGGTTTTCAAAACACTAAATGGCCGGCAGTCCTAATAATTATTTCTCAATAAATTTGACAAATCAAAAACTCCAGCTAATCTAAACTATCATATGTCCATTTTTATTTAAGAAAAGTCAAGCGATCCTGAAATGCTTCATATATCTCAAGTTTAGTGTTTGGTTTACACTGGGCTCAGAAAATGAAACCATGTTTTGTGACACTTAGAACTTTTTTCAGGTCGACTGCCGGTCAAGGTTTTCATAACACTAAATGACCAGCAGTCCTGTTTCAGTAAACTTCACAAATTGAAAAAATCCAGCTTGACCAAACTATCATATGTCGAGATCCCAATCAGCCCAACCAGTTTTGTGGGAAATTAATCATAAAATGCTGCATCAATAGGGAAAAATTGGTAAAATTTCCCACCAATGAAAAGATCATGAAAATAAGCATGAACATCAAAAGACTCACTCCCAACAAACTCATGATATAGAAATCCCACAATCGGCTGGTTCAGGATCTTGACATAATATGATAGTAATAGGTTAGCTGGAATTTTCGATTTGTGAAATTTACGGAAAAGACAGGACTGCCGGTCATTTAGTGTTTTGAAAACCTTGACTGGTTACTGGCCATATAGCCACAGCGTTTAATTAAGACTCACTTTGCAGCCTCCTAAGGATGAATTGCATCAATAAACAAAGATGGTATAATAGACTAACTGGTAATAACAATAATTGTCATTACTAGTTATTATACCATCTTTGTATATTGATGCAATTTATAGTTACAATAGACCTTTTTACGGATGCGGAGGCAATATTGAATTAATTCGATTTGAGGAGTATTATAGGATGCCCAGGGGGCATGAGCACATTTCGTTTGTATTTTCGAGTGCTTTTCGGCACAATTTTTCTTAAAGTTTTCTCAATGGGGAAAAAGATCCTTGTGTCACGTTTCGATGTAATAATGATCGCCATTTTCCCGAGAAATATACAGTGAAACACCATATTTCTAATACTAAACGAGAAAAAGGCGATCATTATTACATCCAAACACGGCGCAAGGATCTTTTTTCCTATTAAAATCTTATTCTAAGAAAACTTTAAGAAAATTTGTCCCAAAAAGCACTTGAAAATACAAATGAATGTGCTCATGCCCCCTGGGCATCCTATAATACTCCTTAAATTGAATTAATTCAAAATGGCCGCCGTATCGGGAAAAAGGTCTATTATTGTAACTATGAATAGGATAATATAATAACCACCAACTAATAACTCATATGTAAATATTTGCAGTATACACAATAAAATTACAGATGGCCACCATAAAAATTTTCTATAAAGCTACGTGCAAGAGTTCTACTGCTAAGACATAGATTGGATAAAGGTATTAAAAAAACACTTGGTGCACATCTTAGGTTGAGTAAACTCAGACTGTTTCGAAGATTATACCTGCTATCATTCTTTGGTGGTAGGAGATGGTGCAGCTTATGCGCAGAATCAGATACAGTGTACGACTAATTCAAATAGTTTGTTGCATCGTTCAATGCGTCTGTCCGTAAGAGAACTCATGTTGTACAATGTGAGGTTGTCAACATATTGAAGGCCGGGAGATATTATTGACAGCGCACGCTTCTGAATGCCCTCTAAGTCGTTGCTTAAATACACAGGCAATGCATGGTGGTATAAACTTTAAGGTGCACAGTACTCTAATACTGGCGTAATGCAGGTATGATAGAAACTGATGAAATCACAGGTCATGACCTTGGCACGCTTAAGCAAAATAAGGAAAAACATTTGCTTATTGGCCTTCTTGATTACACCAGGAATGTGACAATTCCATTGAAGGGTGCTAGGTATAGTTATGCCTAATACTTTTGTGTGGTTCACAAGTTCAAGTTCCTTTGAGTTGACAGTAAACGCATCAAACTAGTAGGTAGGTCTTTTGAAGTCGATCAACAGTTCCTTACACATATCTGAAAAGCAAGCAGTTAATTCTTTGCAACAAGAACCATGATTGGTGACCAGGGTGTCCAGTTCCTATTTTTTCCGATTTTTTGAACATGTTCCTATTTTCTCCTATTTTTCTTATTTTTTAGCTGGTGAAGCCAAAATTTGTATCAAAATTGAACATGGAATTTTTAGTTGTATGTATTTTAAAGTGAGAATTATCGTAAAGCAAGTAATATGTCGACTTTGATGTTCTCATATCAGCAAAGATAACAGTTACATTTGTTCTTTCTACATCCTCTATTGCCCATTAGAGTTCTGTTGACAACTTTGTTATATTGTCACTTTTTCTATAATTTTTTAGTGCCCCTATATGTATTGTACATGTATGTAGCGTTGTAGCTCTTATGACTATTGAATAATGTTGTGCATAGCCCACTGAAACTGCATTTCACATGATATATTTTATTTTGAAGTCTTGCTCGCTTTTATGTTCATCTTTGAAAGTGAAAACAGGATCAGGTTGTCCTCTCACATTACATAGGTCAGATAAGTCATCCTATCAGCTTCTTGTTTAAAAAACCAATCACTACATACCTGGCTGGATTCTGGATGCTACATGAAAAGAACAGACTCAAGTTTAGTTTATGCCACCAGCTCTCTTGGTGAGGCCTTGTTGACAGCTCTACCTAAGCAACTGACGAAGGATCCAATATTTTGTTTGCAGAACCGGTCTTGCAGTCATAGCTAAGCAGAGTGTTTTGTTCCTCTTAGAACTTAACCATGACACACTTACAATCTGGTACCAAATAGACAAGGGCACCCAAAGACTGTTTTCTGTAAAATATCTGTTCGGAGAAGTAAATATTGCCTAGAATTGTCTATTACTTGAGGACGGCTAAAAATTTCTATATGACCGTTCCATTCATGTACAATTTTCAAAGCTTATATTATAAATTCGCTACTACTTCCTGAAGTTTAATTTTCATATTTTACTTCCCAAGTTTTGTAAACCTAAAATTTTCAGATTTCAAAATGTCATGATGGCAAGAAGAATAAGAAAATGCCTCACTTTTGTAATATGTCAAATTGTATCTTGTAAAATTTTTGGAAAAATAATACTGAAGCCCTTGTAATTTTTTTATTCTGAAAAGACTCAAGTTCCGCTAGGATGACCGAATAGATACAAATTTTATAGCACCGCTTAGAACGCCTTAAGAATGTCTAAAGATCTTAAAGTACTCTGGATAGCCTTAATGTTTTCAAGCTATTTAGGAGGAAACCATCGTCGGGTGCCCCCGAACAGGTCACTAGAGAGTGGGAGCTTATTTGAGGAGGGGGTACTTAATAGAGGATTTTCGGATGTGATTGGCAGATGCAAAAACAAAACTTGTAAGCTGTCTTTTAAATCCCGGAATTTGCATGTTATTGAAAAGTATAGTTGTCTGGATAGAGTTAGCTGGATTAAATGGTTGAAGAAAGTTGAATAATAATGTGTTTATGTTATGTTGAAAGGGTGCAAAGGAAGCTACACTTTATGCCTTTTAAGTGTAAACAGTGTGGCAAGTGTTTTAGCAGAGCAGGAACTCTAAGGAAGCATAAACGAGTTCACACTGGGGAAAAGCCTTAGGTGAATGTAAACACTGAAAACTCATCAAAGGCAATTGTTAAATGTAAACACTGTGGCAATTGTTTTAGCCAAGCAGGAGTCCTAAAGCGTCATGAAAGAGTTCACGCTGGGGAAAAGCCTTATGAATGTAAACGATGTGGCAAGTGTTTTAGCCAAGGAGGAAACCTGAGGCGTCATGAAAGAGTTCACACTGGGGAAAAGCCCTATGAATGTAAACAGTGTAGCAAGTGTTTTATGGAAGCAGGAAAACTAAGGAGTCATGAAAGAGTTCACACTGGGGAAAAGCCATATGAATGTAAACAGTGTGGCAAGTGTTTTAGCTGGTCAGGAAACCTGACAAAACATGAAAGAGTTCACACTGGGGAAAAGCCTTATGAATGTCAACAGTGTAGCAAGTGTTTTAGCGAAGCAGGAAAACTAAGGATTCATGAAAGAGTTCACACTGGGGAAAAGCCTTATGAATGTCAACAGTGTGGCAAGTGTTTTAGTGTAGCAGGAAAGCTAAAGGTTCATGAAAGAGTTCACACCGGGGAAAAGCCGTATGAGTGTAGACAGTGTGTCAGGTTTTTTAGCAATGCAGGAAACTTGAAAACTCATCAAAGAGTTCACACTGGGGAAAAACCTTATAAATGTAAAACCTGTGGCAAATGTTTTAGCCATGGACACACCCTAAAGTATCATGAAAGAGTTCACACTGGGGAAAAGCCGCATGAATGTAAACAATGTGGCAAGTGTTTTAACCAGGCAAACAACCTGAGGAGGCATGAAAGAGTTCACACTGGGGAGAAGTGTAACCTTAAGAGAGGAGGAAGTGATATAAGGTCAGGATTTACAAACGACACACTGTCACAGATAGAGACTGGAAACAGTGGTATGGAAGTCAAGCAATCAGTCATCACTAAGAAACACAGCTGTTGGGTTTGTCAAGAGGAGATGGGTAGTGAAGCTCTTCTTCTTCAACATTACGAAAATCATATGAGCCATGTAGCTAAAGATGGCTCGTAAAGATGACAAACGCTTCGGTCTTTAGGTTTTTTCAAGTTTCGATTCGGTTTATAAGGTTTTGCTTTTTAAGTGTAAGGGTCATATCATTAGGTTTACCTTCGATAAATCGGTTGAATTGAAATGTTCGAAATAGGATTATGAAAAGACATTACTAAGAAGAGATTTCACTCTTTACTAAAAGTTGGACAAAGCAGTTTTTCCCACGTGCAAAGGGCTTATTTTTTTCTGTTAAAACGTCGACTTTTAAGGTGGCTCGATCCCATTTATACGCGTGTTGGTTATGTTTTTGAATCGCGTTTTTCCGCAGGAACGATTTAACCGATATCTATGACTTTTGGCATCCTTAGAAAGTGTTATTCTTTATCTTCTCAGAATAAACACGTTTGAGATGTCGGTATATATTTCATGGGTATATTATTTTTACAAATTCTTAATAGCCGAGCAAGAATTCAGGGTTCACTGTCTACAAAAAGGCACACCTTGACTCGGCTGCCTCGTACCCAGACGTCTCTCTCTCGATGAAAATGTGCGCGCAAAGGAAGGCGGGAAGGAGACAACGGGCGAGACGTGCTTCGTCTGCCGTCTATAACCTTCCCATGATCCCTTGCGGCTCATCACCAGTCACTCGCGTTTCGCGCTCGCCTCTACCATGCGAAAAACGAAGCGCCTGAGGAGGACGCTGGGCTTGCGGTGTTCCAGACTTTTGACTCATAGCATCGAGGCAGACCAGCTGATTTGCTATTCGCTGAAGGGCATCTTTCTTTTCCGCAGTGGCTGGCAAGAGACGCCACTAGTTAGGGAGAGACTATGGGAGACTGGAAACAACTCTTGTGGCTGGCCTGTTACGTCAGCCTTTGACATAAAATAAATTTTGGCGGACATTTTACGCTGTCCGCACAACGAGGACAAGATTTCGCAACGATGATGTTTAATCGCACGGAAATTATGACCAATCATGCTCGCCGTGACGACATACGACCCATCGCGTCTGATACGAGTTCAATATCCTCATAAGATCGGACTACAAAAATTTCGGAACATCGGATTATAAAACGAGAAGGTTACTTGTATATAACGTCGAGCACTGAATCTGAAATTGCAAAGATGGTTTTTAGTTTCTCAAGTTTAATGTTGGTTGCACAACTTACATGTTGTGTATGTAACTAGAGTGCTGAGCGCTGAATTTTCAGCTCAATCAAACTAATATAAGAGATTTGAAACATGTCGATGGTTAGCTTCACGATGTGAGAATCCACTTTACTCTCATTCTTGTAAAAAGGTAAAAAAATGAAAATTTGTGGGTGGCAGTCTTTCGCATTTCCGGTGTCTGGCATGTTGAGTGATGGAATTTAATTACAAGTGTCCGTTTAATACAGGTTGGAAACAATAGAAATGACCATTTCAGGTACTTTTTAGCTGTCCGCGTCCGCTGAATAGAGGTGTCCGCTTAATAAAGGTTTCATTTAAAGTAAATAAGGGAAATAATTTTGGGGACCTCGGCTACCGTCCGCTTAATAGAGGGTGTTTCCGCTTAATACGGTGTCCGCTTAATACAGGTTTCACTGTATAAGTCCCCCAAACCGGTAACGCAAAAAACCATTCGTTAAATCGCCCCTCCAAATATAAGCCCCCCAAGGGGCTTGCACTTGGAAAATTGCCCTCAAATACAAAGTAAGACAAAGCAAAAACGGTAAATTTACTTCCAACTATAAGAGGGTGTCATTGGGGTTAGTAGTTAACTGATATTTGGCCTAAAAAACAGTAGTTAACGGATAATTGGACAAAAAGTTAGTAGTTAGCTGAGAAATGAAAACTTGACAGCTGAGATTCTATTAATTATACTGAATACGATCGTTAATGTTAATGAAAGCAACAAAGTTTGCAAACAAATGCTATTTTCTGACTTTTTTTCTGTCCCATTGATGACCTGGTGACACATTAACTGATATTAGTATATGCAAAAAGGCACCAGGGCGGTACCCGGCATAGAGCTGGTTGTCGGATACCGGTAACTCAACGACTAATTTGTCTTCTAATATTAAGGAGATTCCTGTGTTCGGAAAAGGAAAGACAGTACTGTTTTGACGGACCTAAAAGGTCGTCAAGTTAAACATTGCTAACCAAAGAAAAAAACTGTGACTCTTAGCCGGCATTGGATCTGGATGGCCCAAAAGAAGTTCTGATGGCTCAAAGGAATCAGCATCTTTTTTGAAGTACATGAAATTTGTACTTATACGAGAAACAATGTTTGTAAAGGTAACATTGAGGGACGCGAAAGTGGTGTCGACAAAGTCTGTATCGAGTTGCAAAAAACTTCTGACAACGCAAGTGGAAAACCTAGACGCGATTTCTCACTTCAAAACAAAACATTTAGCGCTTTGAACTAGTCCCAAGACTTTGAAGACACAGCGAAAGAACCGCTTAAAAGAAGTAGGAATTCGAAGTGGGTAACACTCACAAAAGTCGAATTGTCCTGTGTTAAATGCTTTCATGCTTCTGTCAGCAGTCTCAACTGTCTGTCCCACCGGTGTAAACAGTGACAAGAGAAGATGGGGGGACTGGATAGGGAACTTTTGACTTGTTTGAAAACGAACTATAAGAAGTGAATCAACTCAAGATAAAGCGGGATCCTTACCACCAGCGTCACGGGACTATGTCATGCTATTTGTTATCTTTTTAAAAAGCTAAAACTTTTCTTTTGCATCAATTGAATTCCAAAAATATTGGTCCAGTTTTGTTATTTAAGACGACGTTTTGGCACTGATATTGTTTCCCGTCGTCTGTCTGTTGGATTGCAAGGATTGAAAATGGATTGAAACTTAGGCAACCACGGGATACAGGACATACAGCAACCAGTTAAGTGCGAGACTGATTCAGATAATGAACTGAAAGTGACGAAGAAGGTGACTTTGAAAAAGTTTGTAGCAGGACATACATGGCCGAGTCGGGAAGATCAGTACGAGATCATGACTGGCTCGTCTGGATGTACGTTGATGGTTATACGACTTAATCTAATTTGTACTTACAGCAAAAATCGGTTAATAGGAGTCTTAATAGCTATCACTTACCGATTTTTACTACTTCGGTAAGATCATTATGTTCTTTTAATTTCTATATTTTCAGTTACTTATAAAATAATGTTACTAGTGGCCGAGTTTATGTGAATTCATATAAGTTTAAACTTTTTAGTAGGGCCTACCCCAAAATTGATTGACGTGCTGAAGTAAAGAAAATACGGGTTATGACAGAATAATATTCGCTGTAGGAAAGTGAAAGTTGATAGGTAACATAAATTAGTCGTGAACAGAGAATAGGCCAAAAAAAATTGTAGTTAACTAATTTTTGGCCGAAAAATTAGTAGTTAACTTAGAACTGGGTACCCCCATTAGCACCCGCCTATAAGGCTAGCCCAGTCGATTTTGAAACCCAAATTTCATTCTGTAGATAAGACCCTCCGAATATAAGCCCCTCTAAAAGGGTCTTTGAAAAATATAGGCCCCGGGGCTTATTCTCTGAATTTTACGGTAGCTGGTGATTAGCTGATCTGTTGACTCGAGTCGGAAAGGGAGTGGCCACGTCACCCATGTAGATCTTATAAAACATTCTGGCTTGAAGGAGAAGTCTACGATCTTTTGGTGAGTCCCATCCCAGGCATTCCAACATCGGAGAAACATGGCTAAAACTCGAGTGCTCATTAAGAACAAATCGGGCTGACAAATCATGATGACAAAAATCCAATGATTCTGGCACTTTTTCTGCGCTGACCAAAGTCCCAACGTTTAATCGTCGACCCTTTTCGAAGTGCATGCTTACATGGGGAATGTATGACGACAAAAATCAAAACCACTCGCAAAAATAACCTTTCAGTCATCTTCAGTTTTCTCCTCTCGTCCCATCGCTTCATACGGCTCAATCTGGTAAAAATGCCCATAAAGCCGGGTTAACTGCACACCGAAAGAAAACAATTTTTTTTAACAAAACATGTCTGACTAAGGGTCTCCTCTACCCCTTTGAAGTTACGTAAAAATGTAGACGCTTTTCACGCCTCACGAATAATTCATAAAATTTCTCTACGATCATGTAAAAACTGAGTAATTCTCTTTTCCCGGAAAGAAATGAGGGAGTATAACTCTCATGCACGTTGTGCGTGCCTAAGATTTTTACCATTGTCCGAGCCAGTCTGAGTACTAGTTTCAAGGCAGGTACTTCATGTACGAGAACATTAATACAAAACATTGTTTGGACACAAACGATCCACGATCTCAATCACTTGATCTTTTGTGTTGCTCAACGTAACAGCGCGGAAATCTTATTAACAAAGGTAAGAAAAGCTTTTTAGTACATGTTGTATACATATTACAAGAATAAAGTAAAGACAGGATTGATCGACACCGCAGAAAAGACGAGATTTTAGCCCACATAAATGGCAACTTCCCTGGCGAGTGATTTGTGCTGCTTTATAATTCAGGTAACTGCCTGTTGGCTATTCGCACGAGACCCGTACACCGACTTGTGTTTGCTTTTCATACAGCATTCTGACTATATTGATTAGGGTTAAGCGCTGAAAATAGTAACAGATTTAATAAAGTTAAAAACTGACCATGCTGATTAGCTAGGGTTTAATAAGCACTCACTCGAAACGGTTAGCTTCTTAGATTAGGTTAGAGTTGTTGCTATATTGAAACCAGTGTTGAATAATAAAACTGAGCTATTATTTTTAGCAATCAGTGGATGTGAAAAATTTTAGAGCTTTTGAAAAAAACTAATAGCATGCCATAGTCCCTCGAGGGTGCTCGTCAGAAAATGGTAAATGACGCATGACTTAATTGTTCTCTCCAAGTGGACTGTATGTATTACAGCAGTTGCTAAATACAACCAGGCGCACTGTTGTATAATTTTTGTGTCAGATTAGAAATAAAGATGGATAGATAGTTTTAATAAATGCTGTGGCTATATGGCCGGTAACTGGTCAAGGTTTTCAAAACACTAAATGGCCGGCAGTCCTATATTCTCAATAAATTTGACAAATCAAAAAAATTCAGCTAATCTAAACTATCATATGTCCATTTTTATTTAAGAAAAGTCAAGCGATCCTGAAATGCTTCATAGATCTCAAGTTTAGTGTTTGGTTTACAGTTTGTTTAGTGTTTGGTGAGCTCAGAAAACCAAACCGTGTTTTGTGACACTTAGAACTTTTTTCAGGTCGACTGCCGGTCAAGGTTTTCATAACACTAAGTGACCAGCAGTCCTGTTTCAGTAAACTTCACAAATTGAACAAATCCAGCTGGACGAAACTATCATATGTCGAGATCCTGATCAAACCAACCAGTTTTGTGGGAAATTAATCATAAAACGCTGCATCAATAGGGAAAAATTGGTAAAATTTCCCACCAACGAAAAGATCATGAAAATAGTCATGAACATCAAAACACTCACTCCCAACGAAATCATGATATAGAAATCCCACGATCAGCTGATTCAGGGTCTGGACATTATAGGATAGTAATAGGTTAGCTGGAATTTTTGATTTGTGAAATTTACAGAAAAGACAGGACTGCCAGTCATTTAGAGTTTTGAAAACCTTGACCAGTTACTGCAGGGACCGCGGAGGGGGAGGGGCTGCTGGGATTTATTTCATAGCACTCCAGTTGACATGGAAAAAATTTCCGTGGAATTATTAGACTTTACCCTATGGAAGAGTGGGATGTTTGCCTGTCAGAACGATTACAACCCGATGTGTGTGCAAGGATAACAAGATGTGAGGCTCAAATGGAGTGATTTGACTTTTTCTCTGCTTTGCATCTTGGAGAGCACCTTTACTGCCACACCGATAATCTATCTAAGGATCTTCAGGGTACTAAGATGGCTGCTGTCAGTGGACAACGCCTGGCAAATCTAACAAAGGGGACGCTCACAAAAATTCGCTTTGATCAAAGCTTTGACCATTTCTATGCTGATGTTGCCCGCAAGAGTGAAGGCCTGCTTGGCGAACCAACGCGTCCAAGAAAACAACACACTCCGGCCAGACTGAAGGTTGGTGCTGGTGCACCAAGCTATCCCCAAACTGCTAAAGATCACATTGTACGAGCCTATTATGAGGCTATTGATCTTATCATCAGGGCTATCTATCAGCGTGTTAATCAAGAAAGCTTCAGCTCTTAAGTACAGATGGAGACCCTTTTGCTTAAAGCTGCTATAGATAATGGTGACGACTATGAGGCAGAGTTCAGTTTCTTGAAGCATAATACAAGGAAGATGTTGCAATACAGGGGCGCTACCTAGGCAACTAAGTACTATGGAAGAAGGAGAAGATATCATGTTTTGACGAAATCCTGTTGGCGGTGTTAAAGTTTCCAGAACCAGAAAAGAAGCTAATCCAGGAAGTCAGTTAAACTATCTGTAAGCTGCTTGCTGTAAATCCTATTACTAGCGCTGCTGGCGAGGGTTCATTCTCATCTGTACGTACAGCGTCTGAAGACGTGGTGTCGATCTGGTATGGGTGATGAGAGGTTTAGCAACCTAGTAGTAACGTTGAATAGTTACAAGCTGAGAACAGACAGTGTCTCTATAGCTGACGTCGCACAGGAGTTTGTTTCCAGCAATGAGGACCGCAAGAGAAATTTCAGCACTGCTGACAACTTCAAAGTAGCAATTTTAGGAAGGTTTATTCAACATATTGGCTATACTGGATACTATAACACATGACGACGTTTATGTTATATTTGTTGAGGCTGTAAATAAGATGACGCGCAAATGCTCGACTGCGAGCAGTCTCTCTTTTTCTTCAGATTTCAAGGCGGTAAGTGGAGTGCACGCGCCTGTGAGCGTGTTTCGGGCGTTTTGCTTGACGGACCAAGAGAAAAGACAGACTGCTCGTAGTCTACGCAAATGCAAGATAAATGGCGAAAAACTGAACTTAATGTTTCTTTGTATTGGCAAGATTTTTTAGGCCTACCACTTTAAAATGGTCTCCGCGGTCCCTGTACTGGCCATATAGCCACAACGTTTAATTATAAATACTCACTTTCAAGCCTCCTAAGGATGAATTGCATCAATATACAAAGATGGTATAATAACTGGTAATAACAATAATTGTTGTTACTAGTTATTATACCATCTTTGTATGTTGATGCAATTTATAGTTACAATAGACCTTTTTACCGATGTGGCGGCCATATTGAATTAATTCGATTTAAGGAGTATTATAGGATGCTCAGGGGGCATGAGCACATTTCGTTTGTATTTTCAAGCGCTTTTCGGGACAATTTTTCTTAAAGTTTTCTTAGAATAAGATTGTAATGGGGAAAGAGATCCTTGGGCCGTGTTTGGATGTAATAATGATCGCCTTTTTCCCGAGAAATATACAGTGAAAGACCATATTTCTAATACTTAACGAGAAAAAGGTGATCATTATTACATCCAAACATGGCACAAGGATCTTTTTTTCCCATTGCAATCTTGTTCTAAGAAAACATTAAGGAAAAATGTCCGAAAAGCTCAAAAAATGTGCTCATGTGGGATCATTATTAAATCAAATTAAAACATGGCACGATCGGGAAAAAAGGTCTGTTATTGTAACTATAAATATGATTATATTTAACTAATAAGTCATAAAACAGTTTTTAAAATTACAGATGGCCATTTTTCAAATTTAAACACCAGAAAGTTCTACCGGTAAGACATAGATTGGATAAAATTAAAAATGCTTGGTGCACATCTTAGGTTGAGTAAATTCACACTGTTTGAAGGTAACATTCTTTGGTGGTAGTAGATGGTGCAGCTTATGCAGAATCAGATACATACTAATTATTCAAATAGTTTGTTGTATCATTCAAGTCTATCTGTAAGAGAACTCATGTTGTACAATGTGAGGTTGTCAACATATTTATTTTGAGCACTCTTTGACAGTCGTTGCTTAAATACACAGGCAATGCATGGTGGTATAAAAAGGTGCACAGTACTCTAATACTGGCGTGATGCAGGTGTGATAGAAACTTTTGAAATCACAGGTCAGGATCTTTAAGGAAAATAAGGAAAAACTTATTGGCCTTCTTGATTACACCAGAAATGTGACAATTGCATTGAATGCTAGAAAGGCCCAAACATTGTTGGTTCTTTGCAGTTGAAGAACATAAAAGTAGTAGGTAGGTCTTTTGAAGTCAATCAACAGTTCCTATTTTTTCTGAGTTAATTTTTGAAAGAATATTTTTCCTATTTTTGAACATATTCCTATTTTCTCCTATTTTTCCTATTTTTTAGCTGGTGAAGCCAAAATTTGTATCAAAACTGAAAATGGAATTTTTAGAGAATTATCATAGAGCAAGTTATATGTTGACTTTGATGTTCTAATATCAGCAAAGATAATAGTTACATTTGTTCTTTCTACGTCCTCTATTGCCCATTAGTGTTCTGTTAACAACTTTGTTATATTGTTACTTTTTGCATAATTTTTTAGTACACCTATATGTATTGTACATGTATGTAGCTCTCATGACTATTGAATAATATTGTGCATAGCCCACTGAAACTGCATTTCATATGTTATATTTTATTTTGAAGTCTTGCACGCTTTTATGTTCATCTTTCAAACTGAAAACAAGATCAGGTTGTTCTCTCACATTACATAGGTCAGATAGATACAGATTTTATAGCACCGCTTAGAACGCCTTAAGAATGTCTAAAGATCTAAAAGTACTCTGGATAGCCTTAAAAAGGGTTTTCAAGCCATTTAGGAGGAAACCATCGTCGGGTGCCCCCGAACAGGTCACTAGAGGGTGGGAGCTTATTTGAGGAGGGGGTACTTAATAGAGGATTTACGGTATGATTGGCAGCTGTGAAAACCAAACTTGTAAGCTGTCTTTTAAATCCCGGAGTTTGCATGTTATTGAAAAGTAGAGTTAGCTGGATTAAATGGTTTAAGAAAGTTGAATAATAATGTGTTTATGTTATGTTGAAAGGGTGCAAAGGAAGCTACACTCCATGCCTTTTAAGTGTAAACAGTGTGGCAAGTGTTTTAGCAGAGCAGGAACTCTAAGGAAGCATAAACGAGTTCACACTGGGGAAAAGCCATATGAATGTAAACAGTGTGGCAGGTGTTTTAGCGAAGCAGGAAGCTTGAAACGTCATCAAAGAGTTCACACTGGGAAAAAGCCTTATGAATGTCAACAGTGTGGCAAGTGTTTTAGCGAAGCAGGAAAACTAAGGATTCATGAAAGAGTTCACACTGGGGAAAAGCCTTATGAATGTCAACAGTGTGGCAAGTGTTTTAGTGTAGCAGGAAACCTAAAGGCTCATGAAAGAGTTCACACTGGGGAAAAGCCATATGAATGTAGACAGTGTGACAGGTGTTTTAGCGACCCAAGAAACTTGAAAACTCATCAAAGAGTTCACACTGGGGAAAAACCCTATAAATGTAAAACCTGTGGTAAATGTTTTAGCCATGGACACACCCTAAGGCATCATGAAAGAGTTCACACTGGGGAAAGACCGCATGAATGTCAACAGTGTGGCAAGTGTTTTAGTGTAGCAGGAAACCTAAAGGTTCATGAAAGAGTTCACACTAGGGAAAAGTGTAAGCTTAAGAGAGGAGGAAGTGATATAAGGTCAGGATTCACAAACGACACACTGTCACAGATAGAGACTGGAAACAGTTGTATGGAAGACCAGCAATCAGTCATCACTGAGAAACACAGCTGTTGGATTTGTCAAGAGGAGATGGGTAGTGAGGCTCTTCTTCTTCAACATTACGAAAATCATATGAGCAATGTAGCTAAAGATGGGTCGTAAAGATGACAGACGCTTCGGTCTTTAGGTTTTTTCAAGTTTCGATTCGGTTTATAAGGTTTTGCTTTTGAAGTGTAAGCGGCATATCATTAGGTTTACCTTCGATAAATCGGTTGAATTGAAATGTTCGAAATAGGATTATGAAAAGACATTACTAAGAAGAGATTTCACTCTTTACTAAAAGTTGGACAAAGCAGTTTTTCCCACGTGCAAAGGACTTATTTTTTTCTGTTAAAACGTTGACTTTTAAGGTGGCTCGAGCCCATTTATATGCGTGTTGGTTATGTTTTTGAATCGCGTTTTTCTGCAGGAACGATTTAACCGATATCTATGATTTTTGGCATCCTTAGAAAGTGTTATTCATTTTCTTGTAAGAATAAACACGTTTGAGATGTCGGTATATATTTCATGGGTATGTTATTTTTACAAATTCTTAATAGCCAAGCGAGAATTCAGGGTTCACTGTCTACAAGCACACCTTGACTCGAGGCTTTACTGGCTTGCGGCTGCCTCTTACCAAGACGTCTCTCTCTCGATGAAAATGTGCGCGCAAAGGAAGGCGGGAAGGAGACAACGGGCGACCCGTGCTTCGCCTGCTGTCTGTAACCTTCCCATGATCCCTTGCGGTTCATCACCAGTCACTCGCGTTTCGCGCTCGCCTCTACCATGCGAAAAACGAAGCGCTTGAGGAGGACGCTGGGCCTGCGGTGTTCCAGACTTTTGAATCATAGCATCGAGGCAGACCAGCTGATTTGCTATTCGCTGAAGGGCATCTTTGTTTTCCGCAGTGGCTGGCAAGAGACGCCATTACGGTTAGGGAGAGACTAGGGGAGACTGGAAACAACCCCTGTGGTTGGCCTGTTACGTCAGCTTTCGACATAAAATAAATTTTGGCGGACATTTTACGCTGTCCGCACAACGAGGACAAGATTTCGCAACGATGATGTTTAATCGCACGGCAATTACGACCAATTATGCTCGCCGTCACGACATACGACCCATCGCGTCTGATACGAGTTCAATATCCTTATAAGATCGGACTACAAAAAGTTCGGAACATCGGATTATAAAACGAGAAGGTTACTTGTATATAACGTCGAGCACTGAATACTAAAATTGCAAAGATGGTTTTTAGTTTCTCAAGTTGAATGTTGGTTGCACAACTTACATGTTGTGTGTGCAAGTAGAGTGCTGAGCGCTCAATTTTCAGCTCAATCAAACTAATATAAGAGATTTGAAACATGTCGACGGTTAGCTTCACGATGCGAGATCCACTTTACTCTCATTCTTGTAAAAACAAAACTATTAACTTACACAACGTTGTTATAATGTGTAATTTATGATTGTAACGCGAAAGAGTTTATAAATACCGAATGGCGAATCCTGTGATATCGATCGTCGCTCGCAGTACAGCTCAGAGCTGAGCCTGAATCTTTAGAGATAAATTACTAGTTTTCGTTTGGTTCTTAACTTCTTATTCTCTTTCTGAAACATCTATTGCAAAGTACCTTAGTTAAATAGAACCCCGGGGCCTCGGGAATAGAACGAGTGTGTTGTGATAAGAGCTTTTTTCGACCCAGAAATGTGAACATTCGGGAACATTTGTTCTAATACGTGTATCAAGCGTCGCCATCCGGGTGCCGGCGAGTTTCAAAAACAAATGAAACGAACGAGAATACAATCAGAGACAGAAAAAATACAAGTTACGGAGTAACCCCAGTTCAACTAAGATCATCTTTGTTAACAGAGGTAGATAATTTTTTTACGACTCCACGCTATGTATTTGAAAGAAAATTTACCTGTCATAATCGTGTGAGACCCGATCTACCTAATCAACAACACACTATGGGAGCGTACACTTCGGCGTCGTGGTTGTAGATTAATTGTGAATGCGGAGGAATAGTAAGAAATAATATTTTTCCGATACCCTTCGAAACAAATACCCTTACTTTTCTCCTTTTGTGTAACACGTCTTAACTCCTTCCAGCCGGAAGTCTTTTAGTTGCAGACAGGTTCAGCGATTTTTTCAAGAAGTTGGCCAAACTCCGCTTGTAAGAGAAGCGTTAATTACCTCCATCATTAACGCTTCTCTTACAAGCGGAGTTTTCCCAACTTCTTGGAAAATTGCTGAAGTCTGTCCCGAATTCTTAAGAACGGAGAACATGAAGAAGCCAGTAATTATAGACCATTTTCGCTACTGCCAATACTTTCTAAGGTATGCGAAAGAGTAGTATTAAACCAGCTCACCCCCCTATCTGACATCCAACCAAAGAATATCAGTGAAACAAAGCGGCAACAAAAGATGGCACTCTACCGAAACGTCGCAAATATCTACTTCTGATTTCATTCTCCGCGCTATCGACCAGAAGAAAAGTCGTATATCTTGATATAAGCAAAGCTTTTGACACAATAAACCATGTCATTCTTTGAAAAAAACTGGAGAACATCGGTCTATCAGTTTCTGCACCCCAATGGTTCGAAAGCTATCTTTCTCAGAGATACTAAGCAGTCCGTATCAACTCTGTTTTATCTGATACATTACAAGTGGTCAGTGGTGTACCGCACGGAAGCTTTCTTGGAGCATTACTATTCAGTATTTATGTAAATGACCAACCAACTGTTTGTCAAACTGTTCAACCGCGTGCTACGTGGATGACACCAAGCTTCTATTGTCTCTTACTGTGAACGACTCCGCTTGTGTTATAGAAAGTGTCAATTCCGATTAGTCTACTATGTTGCGAATTAAGTCCCGTTGGTGTCTTCCCCTGTCTTCCCTTTGATTAATATGCATAACTGTCTTGCTCCATATTCCATTATAATCAAAAAAGGCAAACTATCCTTTTTTTTACACCGCGCACAATGTTTTACTTTCCCCTATCCCTTTTCATTGTTATTTTTCAATTTTTTCTTCTTTTATTCTCTCCTCCACAATTTTATTATTTTCTCTCCTGATTCACCGCGACCACCACAACCACCATTACAGTTCTATTGTTTTCTTTCCACCACCACCATTACAGTTCTATTGTTTTCTTTCCACCACCACCATTACATTTCTAAAGTTTTTCCTCCAACACCACATTTCTATTGTTTCCACTCCTTCTATTTATTTCCCTACCAGAAAGGTTATTTGAGTTTGACCTTTTTGGCCTGAGTTTGGCCTTTTAGGCTTGATTTTGGCTATTTTGGCCTGATGGAAAAAGTTTAAAATCAAGCGTTTGGCTGGCGGTTGTGATGAAAATCTGAGACTTCAGAAGCATAGAAGGGAAAGACAAATTATCGACAGATCCTTTGACGGCAATTTTGGCGAGTTTGAACCATTTTTATGGGATTTATGGGGCTTCGAGCTGGGACGGTCGGCTTTAGAGTCCCCAGCCTTCCCATTTTTCTTACTGCTAGTACAACTCAAAATCTTAAACGTCGATAAAACGGCTTCCAAATGGCTCTTTTGGCGTAGAGACAGTAAAACACAAAACAAAAACACAAGATAAGTAATTTTATTTCTACTTTTGTCAAAAAATGGAATTTAGGACTTTTTTTATATTTTCATAAATTCTCTTATAAATTCAAAGTCCAACGAAGTCCACAGAGTTTGGGCCGTCTGTGACCTAAACAGTTTCGATTATAACAAACACTAAAAAAAGAACATTGTCGAAATATGCCCTCAAAGGCGGCAAACTTCAAAGATAAAAACGACAGTGTTGTAGTTTATGTTGGAAGCCCCCTGACAGTTCACATTCCATTGTCTCTGATCATAAATTGTGACTGCATAAGTAAATGCGACGTTTTTGTTGATTAAGGGCCTGTTTACATGGAGGTGGGTGACCCCAGATAGGTGAGGTTACATGTGACGGGTCACCCCACCTATCATGTAAACCTGATCAAATCAAAATGAGACATTATATGTACAGGCGGGTTACCCCACCTAAGAGGGTTACCTCACCTACCTGGGGTCCCCCACCTCCATGTTAACGGGCCTTAATAAGGTCAAAATGCTATTGAACCTTGTGCGGGTTCGCCTGCTTTTGACAAAGTAAGTGGGTAGGAATAATTGCGATAAAGACTGAAAGAACGCAAATTCACTTCTTAAACGACGTTCTCGTGGAGGTCGCGTCTTTGAATCTTAAAGTCCCTAATGAGAATGAGACGGAAACGCCCTGTGTAGCCCTTGGGATATGTGGATTTCACCAAAGTTATTTTGAGACCGATCAAACGCTGAATCAATTCAATCGCTCAGTGTTGTTAAGAGACAATTCAACATTCGTCGTTACAACTTTCTACATTGTTTACATGGAGGCAGTCGCGCGTGAATTTGATGAAGTTTCAAACGTTAGTCTTCCGTTTAACAGGGAGGAGAAGTGTGACATCACGTTAAAACGGTAGCACTATTTCTGGATGACAACAACAGGGAGCTTAAGCATCGACGACGGCAACGGCAGCGAAAACGTCAGTTTTAAAAAGGAATTCCCTTTTTTTCAGTCTTAATCGCGTTTATTCCAATTTGTCGAAAATGGCAAGTGTAGGCGAATTTCCTTGGAGTTGATTTCTTGAGGACCGCACTCAAGTTTAGAGAGAGAAAAAGAGATTCGTCGTCGCTTGTTTACGTCTTCCATAAAACGTGCAATTAGGCATTTTCACATCGAGGTCGTGCAAGGACGGTAAAGAAATGTACAAAAAAGCGTGATGCACGTGCAAAGTTGTTGTATTAG